CGGTGGTATCGCCTTGTCATATGGAGCTCATTCGAATTTGTGCGTGAACCAGATCAACAGAAACGGTACAGAGGAGCAGAAAAGTAAATATTTGCCAAAGGTATGACATTTATTTTCAACTAAGTCACTTTATTCGACTTTTATGACGATTATTCGCCTTTGTTGGAAACTAAAGCTTTATTTTATTGCCTTGTAGGCAGATGAGTATACAGTCCACCTGATGGTGAGTGGTTATTGTCGCCTGTGGACATTAGGAATACTAAGCCGCTGCCTACCATAAAGTACTCTCCACAAGCCTCGTTTGAAGTACATACCATACGCTCGGGAAACACCGTTAACACCGGGCGGTGCGACGATAAACACGAGATGATGGGAGCATCTCAAACAATTTCTCAGAACACTCCCCATGGAACATGTGGTACAAAATAGAGAGAGAATTACAGTCCCTCCGCAGACCCAGAAGTTCCAAACGACCCATGAGAATGGGATTATAGACAATCTGAACAGCCCTCTTCTGTATGGAGTCAAATAGAAGTAGCTGGTATTTGGGAGCCCCGGCCCAGAGGTGGGATCAGTGCTCCACGTAAGGCCGGACTTGTGCTTTGTAAAACAAGTTTTTGTCCAAGCATAAAGTACCGCTTCGTTTTGTTGAAGACTTGCAGAATTTTGGACTTTAACTGGGCTATGCCCTCAAATGACTCGCAAATTGGGCGTCGCTCGAAAAGTCGACCCAAAGTATCCCAATACTCGTGGAAGGTAGGAGGAATACTCCTTGGAATTGCGGCACCATGACAAAGTTGTCCTTCTAATTTTAGTATAAGTATAGTATTTTTTTCTAGTTATGTTCAGGAGAGCATATCGGAGCACTGGCAATGTCCGAGCCTGGATCAGGCAGTGACGTGGTGTCTATGAAGTTACGAGCAGAGAAGAAAGGCGATTATTATGTGTTGAACGGAAATAAGTTTTGGATTACTAATGGACCAGACGCAGATGTTTTAGTGGTGAGTCTCGTGTAAAAGTTTGTCACATAATAATACTCTAATATAGGATTCACTACTGGTTTTATACCGGTCACCGTTCTCGTCGAACCCGTCGCTTGCGATGAAGGGCTCGATGAGTAAACTAACTTTCAGACACAGCCCACTGAGTTTCTCGCCGGATCTTCTCAGTGGGTCGCGTTTCCGATCCGGTGGTAGATTCTGCGAAGCACGGCTCTTGCTAGGGTTCGTGTAAGCATCGTCGTCAGGTTTGAGCCCCGTGAGCTCACCTATTAGCTACGGTTACGCTGGAATAGCCGCTCCAGGCTACCAGCTTAGGTAGGAAAAAAAACTGGTTTTATGTATATGATACGTTCGTTAGGAATTCACTAATATTGCATCATTCATGCCAGTATGTATTTAAACATTATGACATGATAATCTTACGATTGTAATAACAAATGACTTTCGCCTAAATCTAAAGCCATTTAATTAAATCGCCCTTTCGTTAAGAGCGAAATATTAGAGTTTCAATACTTCCTCCCAATAGCAAAACTGTGCTACTTAAAAATAATATTGTATTTGATTTTGATTCTTTTTAGGTATACGCCAAGACAAATTGGTCGACGAGTAAACAACAACATGGGATTTCAGCTTTTTTAATTGAAAAAGATTATCCTGGGTTTTCAACAGCTCAAAAATTAGATAAACTAGGTATGAGGGGTTCAAACACAGGGGANTCAATACTTTCTCCCAATAGCAAAACTGTGCTACTTAAAAATAATATTGTATTTGATTTTGATTCTTTTTAGGTATACGCCAAGACAAATTGGTCGACGAGTAAACAACAACATGGGATTTCAGCTTTTTTAATTGAAAAAGATTATCCTGGGTTTTCAACAGCTCAAAAATTAGATAAACTAGGTATGAGGGGTTCAAACACAGGGGAATTGGTGTTTGAGGATTGTAAGGTAACTGATTTTGAAATTAATTATTTGTTCGTAAGACAATTACTTAAATTTGTTATTATGGTTTTCATTGTATTGTTCATTAGATAGACCGTTGTGTTTAAATTTAATTATTATTTTGTTTGTTTGTTCTATTGATCCTTTTGTACACTGTATTGTTCTTTGAAATAAAACTTTAGAGAAGGTTTTTCGTTAAGTGGTTTTTGCGTACAATCACAAGCAATAGATGTTGTGTTTTTTATTGGTGGTAGGACGTCTTGTGAGTCCGCACGGGTAGGTACCACCACCCTGTCTATTTCTGCCGTGAAGCAGTAATGCGTGTCGGTGTGAAAGGTGGGGCAGTCGTTGTAACTATACTGAGAACTTAGAGCTCATATCTCAAGGTGGATGGCGGCATTTACGTTGTAGATGTCTATGGGCTCCGGTAATCACTTAACACCAGGTGAGCTGTGAGCTGTGAGCTCGTCCACCCATCTAAGCAATAAAAAAAAGTCTCAATTGTATAACGGCTGCCCCATCCTTCGAACTAGAACACATAACTGCTTCGTAGCAGAAAGATAAAACGGTACTAAATAAACTGTTTATTTTTATACGGTTCTAAAAACTACACATTTTCTTCTATTTTTCTCCACCTTATCCCACTAGGTGGGGTCGGCATAGTTAATTTTTCCCTTCCATTCTCCTTTATCAGTCATCGCAACACTCCTCTCTCTCTCATATCGTCATTCACACACTCCATCCATGTCTTCTTCGGTCGATTTCTTCCCCCTCTTAACTCTCTACGCATCACATCTCCATACCACGCTAACCGTCCGCTCTTTAGTTTGTTGATTACCCGGCGTACTTTCACACTTCCTCTGATATACTTATTCTTTATCTTGTCCGTTCTTGTCACTCCACACATCCATCTCAACATTCGCATCTCTGCCGCGTGCACTCCTCTTTCATGCTTTACTTTCTTCGCCCGACATTCAGATCCATACAGCACGAAAGGTCTAATGATCGTTTTGTAAATTTTTCCCTAAAAACTACACATTTTGTCATTATAAATTTACCGTTCACACTATAATATATTTCTTAACCATTTAATGAAATTCCATTAATACGATATACCATATTACATTACATGAAACTTAATTTTGATGTTAAAAATATTATAAGATGTATGTGTACCTTTTACAAACTTTTATTGAACATTTTAGGTACCGGCAGCAAATTTATTAGGACAGGAAAATAAAGGGGTGTACGTACTAATGTCCGGCTTAGACCTGGAGAGACTGGTTCTCGCTGCAGGTCCCGTCGGATTAATGCAGGCCGCGATAGACACAGCCTTCTTGTACGCACACACCAGGAAACAATTTGGGAAGAACATTGGAGAGTTTCAATTGATACAGGTTCGATGCTCTAAATTTGTACTCGTATTTTTTATTTGCAAAAATAGGCAGATGATTTCATAGTTCACTTGGGGTCAAGTTATTGGTTAAGCACTGGCATCTGACCTTAGTTCTAATCGAAGATTGGCTATTAATTTTACTATTAAATTGCAGTCTTACCGAGAACCATTGAATAGGCGAGCCATGAGCTCCGCTACTAATACGGCAATGGAAAAAAAACCTTATCGCTTATTTCATATTATAAATTATTCTGATTTTACAGGGTAAAATGGCAGATATGTATACAACGTTAAGTGCATGTCGTAGCTACTTATACAATGTGGCTAAAGCGTGTGATAACGGCCATGTTAACAGTAAGGATTGCGCGGGCGTGATACTCTACTGTGCGGAAAAAGCAACACAGGTCGCTTTAGATGCAATCCAAATATTAGGTGAGGCGAGAAAATCCTTTGCATATTTATTTACACATTGCTATTTTTCCAAATTTTCCGAGATGCATTCTTCCATTTTCAAAAATTTTAGAATTTTATTAAATTTCTGTCATAATTACATAGTTATAGCTAGCTCATCATTTGGATCTCTAATTTTAATTAGATATGAATACCAGTAAGACTTTCTGTGTACAGGGTCAGTGCCCGGTTGCAAACATATGCAAGCATATAGTTTCGTAATAGTAAGCACCATATTAGAATACCTAGAGAATGTCAAACAATAAATAATACCTACAGAAATGTAAAAATAAAGTAATGGCAGCTTCTGACACAGGATTTTAATATCCAATTTAAGAAATTTATAAATTTATAGACAGATAAAGAAATTCACGGTCTGTGGCTACTGGAGCCCATAGGCAACACAACCTGAATGAACGAGCTGCCTTGAAACTTGAGGTCTATGTCATTGTATCATAATGATGCAATTTTTGGTTTTTGTGGGTTTTACTTTTGAATTGAATTGCGTGGAAGTCATTCGTGAACATGAGTCAAGTAGCTCATTAAAAAAAAAAGAACCTGCACGCGTGATTTAAATACTAGAATAATCAAGGGCGGATCCAGCTTTGGCGCCAGGAGGGGGTCACATAGTCAAATTTAGATGCGTTCGTTCCCAAACGTTTGCCATTATACAAAGTTGTTATATTATATTAAATTAATTAAATATTGAAGGTATGTAGTTACATAAAATCTGTATGGTGACAAAATATATAAATAAAATCATTATATTCAATTAGTGGTCCACCTTAATCCTGGAACCAGCTCAGGGGGTGGTCATGACCCCCATGACCCCCCCCCCTGGATCCGCCATTGAGAATAATGGCATTGCTCAATATGAGCACAGCTGGCGTCTTGCAACGACTGCAATGTAGGCCTAATTAACAAGATTTATGGTATTTTTTGTTAACTATTAGTACAAAAAGAAATTATTATATTTTTTTTTATTCCAACTATGGATCATTCACTATTGTAAATCGTGTATTGTAAATTATAAATTAAGTTTCTTAAATGTTTTCTAATTTCACAGGCGGAAATGGGTACATCAATGACTATCCTACTGGTAGGATTTTGAGAGATGCAAAGCTGTATGAAATAGGTGCAGGAACATCAGAAGTGAGGAGAATGTTAATTGGAAGAGCTTTAAATAATGAATACAAGTGATAGAAATTGATTATAATAGAAAATGTATACAAATATATAATTATAATTGAATAATTTATTTCTGTCATACCTTCCTGTGTTTCTACTAAAAGGTTTAAAATATAAAATGTGTAAATCAGTTTCAATGTTTAATCCCACCAAAAACTGACAGAAAAACTGATTGATAATGATTCAACAAAATGCCACCATTTCGGTGGTATGAACAGCATCTGTCCAGGTTTTAATTTGCAATAATAGGCCTTTGCATGTCTATATTCAGGATAAATTTCGTAATTTGGTTCTCTGGGATCAACTTTTGCTGTATTGTTCAACAATTCGTGATCATGAGGATAAAGATATTTAGAATCCGAAGGTGGGAATAAGTAAATTTGTTTATCGCCAACGACTTGTGATAGTAGATTTTTCTTTGGATCGTGATGTAGCGGTGAAACAGTACCTTTTGGTCCATACCAAGCCATTACATCTATAGGGTTTTCAGTTTCTGCAAAACAACAGTATTCTGGCTCAATTATATCTGCCTTCAATTCTGGTATTTGATCAAAAAGCTGGTATTGGGCTAAATACCCCTTAGGTCCGTTTGATTGATAAATATGGTCGTTAATAAATTCTTCAACAGTCATTAATTTTTGTGTCCAATCTGAATCTGTATATTTGCTTCCTAGTTCTACAGCCACAGTTCTAAGCCCAGCCATCTTCAGAAAATAGTTTTGATCATTCCACTTAGTTAATGCAGGCCAATTATTCATACAGTTAATCAAAACAACAGGTTTTTCTTTTAATATGTGATTTGTATAGAATGTTTCCATGCTAGGGCAGTCCATTACATCTACAGGCACTGTATTGCATTTATTGGGTTCAACATTCACTTCGTTATGCTTTAATTTAATGGTGTTTGTAGATATTTCACTAACATAATCACTCGAGTAAGGATTTAATAAGCCAGCACATTTTTGTAAGAGTTGTAATTCATTTTCTATTGGACATCCAAATACAAGGCCAAAGTCAATTATTTTGTAAGACTCTCTCAGTAAGTCGTCCATTGGATTATTTGGATCTTTCCAATAGATTAAAAGTTTTAAATACGAACTAATGGTTATTGTTTTTCTCAAGTATAATTTTACATCTTTCCAGTTTCCAATATTTATTTTTTCATGCATATAGTCGATTATTGCTTGTATTTTGATTAAAGTTCGCTGATTCAAGGTGTTTGGATTTTTTATAAAGTGATTCAAAAGTGATTTAGTACAACCATCCAATTCTATAACTTCTGATAACGATAGTTCAACATTTGGCAGGAATAATTCGAATTTACGGCACAAATCTAAAACATCCGACATTGTGTCGGTATTGTAGGTATTGTAGTCTTGGACCTACTCGAAAATATTTAGAAATTCTGAAGTAAACTAGGTACTGATTTTCAAATTGAATAGTGAATAAATTTAGTAAGTGTATTCAGTAGATAGGTACTAAGTTCAAGACAATCAACCTTTCTTCCTTATTCCTTAGTAATTCATTGTAATTGTCTTTGAGTTTATTAAGCTTCCTAATCGAAAGCCTAAAATCCTGGCCTTTTAAATGGAATAAATGGTAAGGTAAGTTAATTTAGCTAAAAAATAAAAATGAAACATGAAATGTTGCTGTTCAAATAAGTCAGCTGACTTTGACAGCTGACGGCCTTAAATATTAAGTATATTATTTATGGTTGGCAGTATGGTACATGGTGATTTCAACAATTATAAATTAAACTTAGATTAGAGTGCAGAAATTGGAATGCAGTTCATGCAAATTAAAAACACTGATGACATGGGTTTCCAGGTTCTTAAATAAGTACTTAGAAAACTTACCATTTTATACTATTCAGAATTCCAACTATTATACTTAGAGTTATGTTTTTTCTTTTTTTTTTGTTATAATTTGCATAATGGATATTTCCTAGGTTTCATACATAATTACAAACATAATTTTAAATGCTTGTGTACCCTTTGCCTCATCAAAAGCTTGAAATAAGTTAAATAAAATATCTATGTCAAATCATATGACTTTGGCACGTGATCTGTCAGATTAAATATTTACATTTACAAATTGAAAGTTAAAAAATTAGTTTTTTTAAATGTTTTTGTAATGATTCAACTTTTTGCTAATAATTTTAAACATAAAGATGCCAGGTAAATACCTGCGCGAAGATGTCTTAATGTTTCGATGCTGACACAATGGCATTTCTAGACAAATTGCTTCATAGAAGTAAAAAACTCGGTATTGATATTCACGAGAAGCGAAACCGGGACAGGTACGTCAGTATCATAAAAGAAATACGTTTTCATTCAAAGTTCTTTTCTCTTTTGTAGTAGTACAGCATGCTCTGCAGGGTTGACGAACCGTTTTCAGTGGTGCCGTGCCAGACGTTAGTTGCGCCGATCTGGATGGTCGTGTACAGGGTCGTGGTTCTTAACATCTGTTTCGTTGACTATGTCGACGCAAGCCACTCTGGCACTACTTGCACTACAATGCCGCGGCGGAACATGTGATTAGAGTGCGGGGCGCGGGCAGCGGGCGTAGGCGAACACGATCACGTCACTAGTCGAGGGGCGGGTCGGTCTCTCTGTTTACTTATTATTTACACGCGAACAGGCTCTATTACACCAGCACATTCCATAATATACAGACGCTTGTTCTTTGTATTGTCTTAGTGAAGTTAAACTTTACTGTTGCATTTTTTTGTGTTTAATATTGACTAGTTGTTACCATAGTGATTTTATATGGAACAGCTGTGTGGCCAGCTGGACCGAGCATGATATAAAATGAAATTTAGGTAATGAATTTATTTTGTGTAGTTTCTCTAAACTAGTTTTGTCGAGTAAAAATACCTCGTGTCAGTGTCTTGCATAGAAAAGTGTAAACTTGGTGTCTTTTGCAATAGTTACATGACAAGTGATGCTAATCAACCAGTGACAATGATAGTCCAAACCTGTTTGTTTTAAAGAAAAATAAATTTACAATGTCTTAGAAGCTGAGAGAAAGTTTTATTGTTTACCTACTTAGCAATAAGTAATGACTGTAGTGTGCAGCAAACCTTATAATTAGCATATAATTATGATGTATTTGGTTAAAGTCATTATTATAATAAATTTAGAAATTATCTATAAAATCCTAATGATGATAAAATCAGATGATTTTAAATGATAATATATATTATTTATTAATAGTGGATTTTTATATTTATTTACATTGAGGTATAGAGGTACAGAATCAATAAAACACATACCACCACTATATAACTAAACTAATGAGGGCGACCTAGTCAAAGAGGTCTAGCTTATATCAAACCTTAGACATTTGTGTATTCCCTACAAGCATTAACAATAGTAGATAGCAGTTTGGCTAGCCCCCTGAAATATCGGAGACCAAAAATTTAATAAAATCGCAATGTACAAAATAGTCTGTCATAAGATATCCACTGTTGAAGAATTACCTACCTCCTAATTTAAATAGTGTCTTGTTTGTATTGTACCCACCATCCAGTGTTGGTGTCAAACGCTATTACAAAAATGCTTAAAGGACAGGACTTCAATGTTTCAAAAATATGTTTGTTCCTCAGGTTCTCCCAAATAACTTCAGAGCAAGTTCGATTGCTTTTATTTAAAGAGTGTGACTGGAGAGGCAGGAAGCTTCTATTTGATTCTTCATCCATACAAAAAGTACCTGCCGGCAAAAATGATAGGCCCACATTCAGGCAGACAGATGAGTTGCCATGCATTGTCGAGGTCACAGATGGATTCAGTTATTTGGTAAGTTTTACATAATTCATAGTTTCAAGTTGGAGTCAAAAGGATGAGTTTCCAAGTGATGTATCTATGTCAACGTTCAAATCTCACAGGCACTGCAGTTTCAAATGAATAATGTCATATAATTAATCTACGTCTGTGTAAATTATTATTTGTATAATTGCTGTATAATTGAGACATAGAATGTAGTCTCAAGGTGGGTAGTGGCATTTACATTGTGATATCTATTCAACGATAGCAGATTTAATGTGGCATCATCATATACAATGATTAATACTAATTGGTTTTTAGGTAATTTTTACACATTGCAAACATTCAGTTGCTTAAAAAAATATAAAAGTAAACTATAAGTATTAAATATGTTCTAATGAATTAGAAGATACTAATTACCTAATTTTAGCAACAAAAAATAAAATGAAAAAAATATTACAAGATCAAACTGTAAAAATAGTTTTAATTAAGTAATTATTAATTGTAGTATCACAAACAAATTGATATGTACACTATGTTACATTTATATATAATATAATAATATTTCTTTTGAGTTTACAAAACTTTTTGTCCTTGTTGTAGTATTTAATTGATGGGTCTTGTGGTTTTTGTCATGATACTGAGATAACATTTATCTAGGTTCAAGTTTATTACTATACTTTCACGAAAGTATCAACCAAATGAGGCTTTTGCATTTTGAATGATGCTCAAAGCAATGAATCAGCAGGAAAACAAACAGACTAGCAGAAAGAAAAAAAACTGTGAATAATACCCAATTTACAAGTACCCACAAATCGCCATCTCTTAAAAAAAAATGAGTTCATCTGAATATCTTAGTTATAATATCACCTTTCTATCGGAAGGGTAAATATCACCTAAATTTTTTATTTATATTATAGATTTCCAATGTCCTTCATACATTTTCCATTAGAATATCAGAGTGAATGACAAATTCTCGAATATTTTTCTCCGCCATTGACGGAACGGTACGCTCGATACGGCTCGATACGGCTCGATACGACGGTCGATATTAAATCCGTAGAGATTGAAACATACCACTTCGGAATTTACGTCTTTACTTTATGCCAACGTTAAGTAGATAATCGTGATTGCATTAATTCTAAAGCAAACATAGAACATTAAAAACTTTATGATAACGTCAATTGTCCGTGTGTGTGTCCGGGTGTGTATAGTAACGACATTTTATTGTTAGTTTGTGTAGAGTATATACATATGTATTTTAATAACTATCTAATTATATAGGTGAAATCCTATTTGGTTTAAGCTACATCTTTGCAACTTTACAGAAGAGCCATTTAAAGTTTAAAATTTAGAAAAATATCATGACAAAAAAACTTCTTCAGCCATTTGAATGGGGTAAATATACTGAAGCTCGATTAAAAACGTTGAATTGATGCTGATACCAAATAAAACGGACATTTAGTTATAAAGTTAGGTACAAGTTGAAAGTCGTGACCTAAAGGATAAGACGTCCGGATTCGTATCTTGCTCGTTCGAATCTATCGTATCTATCGTGTTCGAATCCCGCAGGCGGATACCAATTTTTCTAATGAAATACGTACTTAATAAATGTTCGCGAAATCAACTTCGCAAAATTATAATTTGCGTAATTACTGCTGGTAGGGCCTCTTGTGAGTCCGTATGGGTAGGTACCACCACCCAGCCTATAGTCTATTTTTTTAATTTTTATTTGTATTTACTTACACTAAAGTTCATAAAGTGTTATATACACATGAGTTTGGGCTTATGCTATCGTGTCAAGTTAAAGTGGTTTAGATTTCTTATAGCTTACAGTACTTATTTAGTAGTTTAAAAATTATTTGCTTGCTACATACATATACTGTACGTACACATTTCGCACACCTCGCCGACTTTGATATTTCGATAAAAACAAATTCATAGATTTGTTTTTTATTTCTAATTCAGTAATTTTCATTACATATCTTCCTCTACAAATCATCGTGTTGTGTTGCAATTTATAGAATACACGTAACTTCCAAATTTTAATGTATGATTATGGTTACTCGTAGTGCCAATTGCCGCCGAGTGCGTGCTTTGACAGAATAAATAGAAAGTCTGTTTAGGTCGAAATTGTTAGGCGAAATTTGACTACGGAATTTAACATAAAATAAAACAGACTTCAACAGATTAAATGAAAATATCATCAATGTAGTCGAAGTCAAAGGAGTATGCACGTTATTATGTATTACTACGTATATCTCAAAAACTACTCTTATATCTTGATAAAATTTTGATGGAACTACATGAAAGGCATCAGCTTTCAAAATAAATATAGTCGTCGTGGCCTAAAGGATAAGACGTCCGATGCATTCGTATCTTGCGATGCACCGGTGTTCGAATCCCGCAGGCGGGTACCGATTTTTCTAATGAAATACGTACTTAACAAATGTTCACGATTGATTTGCACGGTGAAGGAATAACATCGTCTAATAAAAATGAAACCCAACAAATGTTCACGATTGATTTCCACGGTGAAGGAATAACATCGTCTAATAAAAATGAAACCCGCAAAATTATAATTTGCGTAATCACTGGTGGTAGGACCACTTGAGTCTGCGCGGGTAGGTACCACCACCCTGCCTATTTCTACCGGGAAGCAGTAATGCGTTTCGGCTTGAAGGATGGGGCAGCCGTTGTAACTATACTCAGACCTTAAAACTTATATCTCAAGGTGAGTGGCGCATTACGTTGTAAATGTCTATGAGCTCCAGTAACCACTTAACACCAGGTGGGCTGTGAGCTCGTCCATCCATCTAAGCAATAAAAAAAAACCTAGAAAACATATTCTGAGGACACATTAAAAAAAGAATTAAAAAAATAATCGAATTGAGAACCTCCTCCTTTTTTGAAATAGGTTTACAAAAAAAAGTCAACAAAGAATACGAAATAAAACCTACGTATATCATAAATCACTTCTAGATTAAAAAGTCCATACAAAAAATTGTATCTTTACGATACTTCTTTTTACTGTTATAAAAATAAACGAACGGATCTTTATTCGTTACGATCACAAGACTCAATTCGTTCATAAATATACACTTGCGCGATCTAAATTTAGACCACTTAATATGTTAGACATTTCCATTGCTCTACCTTATAAGGAAGATGAAGAATTGATGGTTGTGTACTCGAGCTTTTAGTGCTGTTTAGTTGGACACTAATTAATGGACGCTCTAAGAAATTTTCATACGGTTATGACTATTAGTCAAAAAAAGCGCAAAGTTGATATTTTTAAAACATTTCGTGTGTTGCGCAAAAACGAAGGCAGCCTACTTTTATTGTTTAATTTTGCGTTTATTTAAATTGCCTTGAAGATTTAATTTTATTTAAAAAAAATATTCCTTTGGGTAGGAAAACGAGTTCATGGTGTAGGTATCTGGCATTAAGTGCTTATAGGTATAGGTACTCGGTGGCGTTATAACAAGAATGACACCAACTACCAACACCTACTGGTGGTAGGACCTCTTGTGAGTCCGCGCGGGTGCGTACCACCACCCTGCCTATTCTTCTAACGTCATTTAATGTTTTATCCCTATAATGACAACGTGCAGAGCGCGAGTTTTCACGGTCCCCCTTGGGGACCTCGGAAAATTACTTATTTGAATCCCAGCATATTGGTCTTACTTGATATGAAGTCTGCCATAACATTCCGGACGCTCTCTCTCTCTCTCTCTCTCTATCGCTCTCTATATTCGTTCAATTATTTCTGAGTTGTCGAATATATTAGAGTTTTCGTGGTAACGGACAAAGTCTCATTTATCGTACGGAATCACGTGATTCGAATCGTAACAATTGTTCTTATTTATAGTTTTGTACACCTGCTGTCGTCCAACTGTGCAGACATGAATGGAACTTGCTTTTAAAATGTAACGGCTAATTACTTACTATTTCATTTGTTGTTATCTCGTGTTAATTTTGAGTGAAAATTTGAGTACGGTAACGTAAACTATACGGGTCCCTTGCCTACTAAATAATATAATTAGTAAAATATTACAACGAATTGAATACCGCGACAATTATATTTAAATTTTTTAATGAAGTTTAAGGTCCTTCTTTGTGTGTCTTGAGCTATAGCAGTTTGTCCGAATTTGAGTATAATCTTTGATTTGAGTACGATTGGCATTCAAATCAGAATAGAATTGCAGTGCTGTAAACCCACAATGCAGGCCTTGTTTAAAGACCCTATTGCTATAAATTTTATAGACAGAATTGTTTAGGACAATTATTAAAAAAAAAAACTACGCACTTATTATTACAGCATGCGTCAAATCTAAAACTGAAGTAACGACCCGTCTGTCGTATCAATTGAAGCTCATAAATAGATGCAAATTAATACGATTTATTCGCGGGCTTTTTAGATATCCGAAGCTATATCTATATAATAATATGCAACATATTCTTAAATAAAAATTATTGGAACGTTTAATGAAATAGTTTACTCCTGTCCTACTATTAATTTTACTCCTTTAAGATGTAAAGCAAATTAGTATTAGCTTGAAACCCCTCAAAAGTAAATCAGTATTAACTTGCTTGAGAATATAAAGTAAATAATAATTTAAAAAAGGTACCGACTTTGTTATATGCATAAGTATATAAAATTTCTTTGACACAAAATTGTTGCGTGGGTGTAGCAAAGCTATGAATGTAAAAGTATTTTTAGTATCAAAAATGACGTACGTATACGCACGCATTTTGTTTTGTTGACAACCTGTTTTGTATATCACAACCAGTTCTTTGATGTTTTGTAAAAAAAATTGATGTATATGTATAGCTTTGAGTTAAATTATTATTAATTATTAATAACGACTCGATTGTATAGGAAATGTTGTCGTTTAAGGGGTGCCCGTGAAGATAATTCACATAATTTTGTTAGTTCATCACACTTTTTAATTATCTCTAAATCTCTATAATGCTTCATAAAAAATTAAATAGTATTCAACATTTTCATTTACTGGTGGTAGGACCTCTTGTGAGTCCGCACGGGTAGGTACCACCGCCCCGCCTATTTCTGCCGTGAAGCTGTAATGCGTTTCGATTTGAAGGGTGGGGCAGCCGTTGTAACTATACTGAGACCTTAGAACTTATATCTCAAGGTGGGTGGCGCGTTTACGTTGTAGATGTCTATGGGTTCCAGTAACCACTTAATACCAGGTGGACTGTGAGCGCGTCCACCAATCGAAGCTATAAAAAAAACATTTCAAAGGACAAATTCATCAGCATGTTTATGAAGAGATATTCAGACCTAATCCCTGATGCGCAATTTTTTTTTTTTTTTTAAATATGTACTGTTTCTTTTTTAACTATGTTTATGTATTATTTATTTATTAGTATGTAGTATGTATTGTTTAACTATGTTTTTTTTGTTCAGTACAAAGGTCCGTCGTCTGACGCGAGTGTCCTCGGTGAGATGATATTCGGTGCCGTCGCTATGAACTGCAGGAATGTTTCATTGAAAATCCATGTTATGGACGAACCTAGAAGGTAAATAAACATTTTGTTATAATTGCTAAATAAACACTTTTACTTAGAAAAAGGTTTATTCAAGGGTTGACTTTGAAAGAAAGACCAGAAGAGATCAAAGGCAAGGATATCCGACCGTTTATGCATCGAGTATCTGCCGTTGCTACTAGCCTGTCACCTTCAATTTCGTGACGTCATCAATTACTACGTCACTGCCGTTAAGAGGAAACGCGCGAGCTAAAAGATCTGAAGCGAGACTTTTGAAAAATTCTATTGCTACCTCTGTTAAACCTTCCTGACTAGAGCACCAATAGGAACAAATGTAGCTCTGAGTGTAAAAGAGGTGATAAAAAAAGGGGAACATGTCAAGTACGGTCATCCGTTGTACCCGAATCTACGCCTACCTTGTACAGGTTCCACAGCAATGACGCAGGTTCAACTCTAACTGAGCACGTGCAGGAAGCGATTAACGACGTGCTTGAGAGCAGTACCCATCTGCGGAGGTGGTGGTTCTTGGAGACTTTAACGCTCACCAAGAGTAGTTAGTGTTCAGAACCACTGACCTCCCGGATCGGGCTGCCTATAATTTCGCCTTGTCCTATGTCCTCTCTCAGATAGTGACATAGCCCACGCGTATCCCAGATATTGAGGAGCACGAGCCTTCTCTGTTGGACCTTCTGCTGACTACCGATCCAGCCGGATACAGTGTGGTGGTTATACGCTCCGCTTGGACCGTCTGATCACTGCCTTATCCGTGCTGCCATACCACCCTCTCGTCCTGGTCGTCGAATGACGACCGGGTATCAAGGTGTTTGGCGGTATATGTCAGTAGATTGGGATGGATCGCCTGAATTTAATGCATCCTTCCCATGGGGGCGGTTTTGCTTTTCCTCTGCTGAATCCGACGTCTGTGCGGGACCGACTTTTTGATAAAAATATTTCGTTTGAAACTACATAATGTTATTATAAATTTATACTTGTACAACGAAGGCAGGTAACGGTAAAATGTTTTATATAACAGATTAATGTGCACGAAAATATTCTTCGTGCCTACATCGCGACGTATAAGCCGAGGAGAAAGGAAAAACGATAGGCGCGAGGCAGAGAGCTGTAGCTACCTCAGGAATGAATCTAAGCCTCTAAACGTGCCTACGATGAATGAAGAGGGAGCTCTCTCGTTGAGCTCCTCGATGGGGAGAGGGGATTCAGGTAAGATTTAAATAAAATTAACATTTCGTGTCTTGAGGACCTGGAGAAAAAAATCGAAGACGTGTTGAAATAATACTTGACATTAAAATGCTTAGTACAATAATGGCTCTAAAAAGTATAGTCGGGTCAAGGCCCCAAGAAAAAAAACCACACACGAATCCGAATAAAACCGAATTTCGCAATAAGCAGAACCGATGAGTGTCTCTGTTCTCGAAACTTATTCTTAACGTTTCATTCGGATTACTATTTCCGTTTTTTTCTTTAGCCAGAAAATGGCGGCTATGCCATATCCGTTCGTAAGTGGTTTACCAGGCTAATTACATGTCATTATGATTGTTAAGCTTACGAAAAGGACTACGCCCGATAGTGAACGTCCGTTTATAGATATCATATATATATTGAAGGTCAAACAAATTAGCCGGTTCTGTTTTTTTTTGTAGTTGTTAATAACTCGAAATTACGTCGGATTTGAAACAGCTTTCTGTAAACAATGTCAGTTCGTGTTCGTTATAAATTTCTTGATAAAAACGTTTTATGAATCCGTGCATAAATAAAAACGTAATCGTAAAAGGGTTTTTAATTATTTTTAATTAAAAGACACGTTGGCTTGGTGATGGATATGGCCGGTCGTTAGGCAAACCTTTTTATTGTTCTAAACTGGCAAACGACTTTATGGCACGGTGTTAGAGCAAAATTACAACGTGACCACAACCGCCCAGTTTTTTTATTTATTTTTTATTGCTCGGATGGGTGGACGAGCTCACAGCCCGCCTGATGTTAAGTGGTTACTGGAGCCCATAGACATCACAACGTAAATGCGCCACCCACCTTGAGATACAAGTTCTAAGGTCTCATGTATAGTTACAACGGCTGCCCCACCCTTCAAACCGAAACGCATTACTGCTTCACGGCAGAAATAGGCAGGGTGGTGGTACCTACCCGCGCGGACTCACAAGAGGTCCTACCACCAGTAAAAGTTTGAGATAAACATTTAATACTTCAAGTTAAACGTAATAATGTTCGCCCTTTAGTTGACTAATTGGTGAAAAAATAGGCTCATCTAAGTGTATGTTGTAATAATGAATTAAAATTTATTTAATAAAATTTACGTTTTTAATTTTACTCGCAAAATGTTATTTTCTGTTTGTGTGGCACACTTTTGTAAACACGTGTTTCTTCTGCTACATATGGATTTGCCTCTGGAGGGGCATTGGCTAGTCGTTAATTCTATTTTTTTTTAAATATGTCATTTGTAATATGTATTCCCTGAAATATTTTTGTGTTATGGGAAACAGGTTTTTGCGGAGACAGTTCACCGTACAGCAGTCTCGGTTCGACACACGATTATTTCTGTATGTTCGAAAACTGCGATGGGAGACCTCAGGAAGACATATATTCTCTTCACTGTGAGTATTATATTAAACTAATATAACTACATTTATGTATGCATTCCATTAAGTTCATTGAGACGTTGCGATGTTGAGATGTTGACAATGTTGTCAAAATGTTCCGAAATGCTATAAATGTGCCCAAATAATTTGTATGAAGTTAACTAGGCGGACAATGCAAAGAAATTTACGCAGATGACTTTCGATAAAAGTGTTCGTGGTCAGGTTATGCCTCTGAAATTTGCTGATGCCTGTTTTTTTTTTCTTTTTTTCCTACCTAAGCTGATGGCCTTGGGAGGCCATTTCAGCGTAACCCTAACAAGTAGGTGAGTTCGCGAGGATCAAACCTGACGGCGTTGCTAACATTAACCCTAGCAAGAGCAGTGCTTCGCAGAATTTACTACTAGATCGGAAACGCGACCCACTGAGATCCCGCGAGAAACTCAGTGGGCTTTGTCTGTGGGTTAATTTTAATTTACTCGTCGAGCCCTTCGCCGCAAGCGATGGGTTTGACGAGAACGATGACCGGTGCTTAAGGTACCTAAAAGCACCGTTAGTGGATCGGGAGGATTCGAAATGATGTGTTTTGAACGACGTCGACTTCTTACCATTTGGTCCGCAGGATCGGGAATGTAGTTTCAGGCGGTTAGGATGAGAGGCTTCTCGTTTTGTGCCGCTTTCTCGAAATGGGGCACTGATGCCGACTGTAGGTACTTACTGATGAACCACAAATTTATTTGCCTTCGAAGGCAACAAAAGGTTACATGGATTGTTTTGTCCACAGACCCACCCGGACGGAAACTGAGCATATCGAGTAACGGTAGCTGGCAGCGTAGAACCTTCCAGAACATGGCAACGAGATTCGACCTCGGGCACAAGAGTTCCAGCTCCCTTAGCGTCCCGACTGCCTTCAGTAATGGAACCAGCGCGACCAGCTGTGACTCTCAGGTCAGTAACGAGTGGACGAGCTTCCGCTTCTAGTGGGAAATTGCATATCCTAAACAAAAATGATCCACATCTAAGGCCCAGCTTATCGTTCTCAAATGTTTCGACTCCAACCATACGATTCGGTAGTTATGGTCACCAACCGCTAAATGAATGCTCGAGAAAAGTGTGGCTAATCGAAATATTACCAAAATCGATACACAAATTCAGAGTCAAAATACTAATAAATTTTATGTATCACATTTTCTGTTTTGTTTCGTTATCGATATTTTGAAAAAAGAACAGATTATCTCTAAAAAGTTTTTATTGACAACACTAAAACTCGTTAGTCACTTTAACAAACAAAAAAAAAGAAAATCGATTAACAAACAAAACAGAAATTGTAATTGTTTTCTCTTTGTCTAAATATGTAAATATAAATAAAATGGAGATAGACTGTCCAACAATAAATATTTAAAATGATAAAAATGTTAAAAATATACTTTTTCCAAGAAAAATATTAAAGAATATTCGTGAAAGAATGTTCACATGTTTACATGAGGATAAAATAAGTAAACAATAGTATTTTTAGTTGTGATTTGAATATCGTCTAACACATTTATAAAGAATTGTTTATAAAAAATTACTAGGTTTTAACACATAATTACTGTGGTTAACCAGTTTGCTTTTCTGAATCAATTTCCCTGAACGAAGATTGAGTAAAAAAAAACTCTTTATCAGCTTTATCAGTAGTATTTCCGGTCGCCAAATATAGAACATTGCTTGTGACTAGCAATTGTATCAAAATTTTTTTACACTGGGTCTTTAGCACATTCTTCCTAGCGTGCTTTCTTGTGTCTCTTTTTTTTTTTTTTAAAACTCAATTCCGTTAACTTCAAACACGTAATTTTGAATATGGATTATGATTAATTTTTATTTTTATTTTTTTATTATTGCTAGATGAATGGACAAGCTCACAGCCCACCTGGTGCGAAGTGGTTACTGGAGCCCATAGACATTTACGACGTAAATGCGCTACCCACCTTGAGATATAAGTTCTAAGGTCTCAAGTATAGTTACAACGGCTGCCCCACCCTTCAAACCGAAACGCATTACTGCTTCACGGCAGAAATAGGCAGGGTGGTGGTACCCACCCGCGCGGACTCACAAGAGGTCCTACCACCAGTACCAGTACCACCAGTACCAGTATAAAACAATTTTGACATTCTTATATTTTTAACTCGAGAGCTTGAGTTTGCTTGTTAAACGTTGGTCTATTGTATGATAATACGATAATGTTTTATTATGTTAACGTCCAGTCCAGCGATGTCTGCCAGTTTTTCTCCATGCTTATTCGTTGGTAGCCTATCGGGTTATTCCAGATTCGCGCGGACGGGTAGGTGAGCTAATGGGCTTAACCTGAGAGAATTTGCTAACTAACTAGCCCTAGTATGAGCAGTGCTTCGTAGAATATAACATCGGATTGGAATCATGACCTACTGAACAGATCCGGCGGGAAACATAGTGGGCTGTGTCTATGGGTTAGTTGGCTCGTCGAACTTTTCGTCACCTGCCACTTACTTCCTCTTCACCCATTCAAGCTTCAAGCCACTTGCTTACCTGCATTGCAGTAGTATTCCCTTTTCACTTTGCATTGGCATATCTTAATTTGGAGCAATGTAATGGGATCTGCTGGGGCTAGGCAAAGCTGGAACTGTAATTATGCTATACAAATTGAGACGTGGTTGAGAAATGGTTAACTTGATCTTTACGGAGGCTGGTAACAACTTAACATCAGATTTGCGTCGCAAAACAATAATATTTAGTTTACAAAAAATAAAAATAGTGTTGAAATGTTCAAAAAGAGTCGGAACACTTAGGGGTGGGGGCCCCCTGTAGTCTCTTCCGGCGGTCTCTTTTTCTACTACGTAATGAATGATTCTAAATATAACTCAGCCCGATGACGTGAGATCAGTGTTTTCGCAAACACTCTGATGGATTTAAAAAAACATTCGATTTCGGCTAAACGATAACCTAATTCCAGTTTATCACGTGGCTTCGTGATCACGTTGCTAGCGTGTTGTAGGTACCAGTGTATTTTTGCGAGTACCCGTTAATGTGCTATTTAATTTTGAGTGTTCGAAGTGCTGAACAAAAATAGCTCCTTTAAAGTCCAACGTTAAATGGATTGACGAGTTTATTTAAGCATTATAAACAGCTTGATTTTAAAATGTATGCTTTGGTGATTTAATACGAGAAAAGTTACTTTCTTGATATGTGGGTGTTGCTATAACTCTTGATCATCATCATCATAGTCTGATACTCTTGGCAGAGCAGTCGTGGTCATGTGGAATCCTTGTTTAATAATAAACTCTTGATAAGTGGTCGTGAAAAGCGAAGACACATAATTTTGGTCATTGTCATCAGTAAAATGTTTTAAGGTTCAATAATTATAAATGTTGCCTAAAATCCCGAAATCATTTGCTGCATCTGCATTAATCAAAGATTTTAAAGAGAACCTGGAAAATTATCGTGTCAGAAGTGTTTGGCTCTTACGAGTGCTATCTTTTCTGGAGTATCAATGGATCAATAATCTCGGCAGCGATCAGCTGGGGAACTTAATTGAAATCGATTGCCTTATTACTTTTTGTGGCGGGTGGGAAGAATCGAATTAAGTACCCATCGACCTCTGGGGCAGTACAGTGGGTAATGTGTGACTATTACCCACTTGAAAACCTGCTAGCGCTGTCAACCTTGATACCTCATAGTTTCAAATAAGAGGGGGCAACGATTGTTGCAAAATTCGGAAATCATCATGAGATTTATATCCAAGGCGTAGGTATGAGGTTTCAACAAAATAAAATTGATACGCTTTTTTGGTAATTTTACATTGTGTTAAATGTTTGGCTATTAAATCGTGTGCTCGTCATTTTTTATACGCAATGACGTATTAGTTTTTTTTTCTTTTTTTTCCCTACCTATGCTGATAGCCTTGAGAGGCTGTTTCAGCTTCACCCTAACGTTTGTAGGTGAGCTCACGGGGCTCAAACCGGAGAGCTGCTAACACTGACCCTAGCAAGAGCAGTGCTTCGCAGAATCTACCACGGATCGGAAACGCGATCCACTGAGAAGATCCGGCGAGAAACTCAGTGGGCTGTGTCTATGGGTTAATTTGCTCGTCGAGCCCTTCGTCGCAAGCGACGGGTTCGACGAGGACCAGTTCTTGTGATACCTAAAAGCACCGTTAATGGATACGTATTACATAGGCAATTATTATTAGTTATACCAAATTTGCAATGCAAAATACACATTTTTCAAGTCGATAACGCAATGTAAATATTCGACTATGCTTACAAAGCATTCGTTCCAAAATGGATTCGTCAAAATTGGCCCAAAAGTTTTTGCGTAATGCTCAAACATGCAAAAATTTATATATAAATCACGATTTGGAAACAAGGACACATCATAATTTCAAATATCGTTGTTTGTTTTTTTAAATTCAACATTATTTTTATTGTCTTGCAAACTGAACGTTACGTAGTCATATTGTAGTATTTTTCTCGGTTTTCGTGTGTCATAGACATAATTAAAACTACTTTTACGGCTTAATCACGCGTTTTTTATTGCCTTTTTATTATTTTGTTCTGTGTGAAACGTGAAAGTCTTCTTTTTTTTCTATATAACAGTTGATAGTAATTAGGACGGTATTCAAATGTCGACGAATAACACCTTAGTCGGCCGCGACCACGAAATCTGTGGAATACTCGAAATGTTGAAAATAATATGAGGAAAATAAATAATAAAGCAGTAGAAGTAGTTCCAGTCATATTATGCTTTCATGATATTAAGTTATTATTTATTTACAAACGGCTTATCTGTCATTATCTGAGGGTGAAGCGCGTGACGGCTTCGTCACATGAGTGACCGCTATCGTTGTCATGTGAGCAGAGATAACTAGTTAGGCCTACAGCACCAGACTGTAAACTGCGATATCGCTGCATTATTGTTGACTCGTATTCAAGTCCTTAAGATAGTTGCGAACTAACCATTTTTTCAACTTCTCACATCATTGAGGAAGTGCAGAGACAATACGCGCAAATCTTAATTTAGTTATCAGCGTCTAGTCTGCCTTTGATACATAATTCTCAATTTCTTTGGTACATCGGCAGAAGGTAGAAGATAGGAAAATGGATAAGGAAATGGAGGTGCCACTCCAATGGATGATAGTGAACTAGCAGTAGCCAGAGTAGGCCGCGGTCGCATGCTGGTTTGTTCTGGTTCACAGCGGAATATTATCATGAAGAGCTTCGGTTTTTTGTTACTGTTGGTCAAGCGAAACAAGTGTGTTCTGGTAACAGAGGAAGGATGGACACGCTTCTAATATGTACAATAGTGATTTCGACCTTATGGCCGAAATTCACTGCGTGATGACCTCGGTGGTCGCTCAGTAAGAACACTAGTAAATTATCGGTAACATCCTTGATCTAAATCATCGTAGCTACATCACTAATTAAATTTTATACTGGTGGTAGGACCTCTTGTGACTCCACACGGGTAGGTAGCACCACCCTGCCTACTTCTGCCGTGAAGCAGCAATGCGTTTCAGTTTGAAGGGTGGGGCAGCCGTTGTAACTATACTGAGACCTTAGAACTTATATCTCAAGGTGGGTGGCGCATTTACTTTGTAGATGTCTATGGGCTCCAGTACCACTTAACACCAGGTGGGCTGTGAGGTCGTCCATCCCTCTAGGCTAAAAAAAAAAAATCATTGAACGTCCTATTTTGGTAATAGGTATACAGTAACAGCTCGACAAGTGGCACAAGTGAGAGCATCACGAGTAGTTCGGCATCGGCAGTTCAAAAGAAGAACAAGCTAGGGCTGGCTCTTCTTATAACCATGACCGACTCTTCGGATATGTAAGTATGGGACGAGGTATTAAAAATCTTATCATTATTTATGTTTAGTATGTTGTATTGAAGGCGTTAAAATAAGACTGGCTATGGACACTTCCGGATGATCGTGGTCAGTGGCTGCCTATTTATACCGTGAAACAGTAATGTTTATTAAATCGTGATATGCGACAGACAATTCTGAGATTGTAACCACTGTTAGAGCCGAGTTTATTTCTATTACTTGGCACTGCTGCGTTCATCAACATAGTGTTTTATTGTTAACCCTGTTTCTTGAGCTCTATGACGTGTCTTTCTCGATGAGGTTGATGGTAAGGTGTCTTGTGAGCCGACACGGGTAGAGGCCACCGCCTTGCCTATTTCTGCCGTGAAGCAGTAACGCTCCGGCTTGAAGCGCGAGATGGCTATTATATTATAGAACTGAGACTCAGTACTCAGGTCTCAAGGTGAGTGTCGGCATTTGCATTGTTGATATCTATGTCTTAACTATTTAATACAAGGTGGGCTGTGGAGTTATTGAAGTTATTCACTCGTTTGACCAATAAAAATAGTCAGTGCCTTAAAACTATCTCTAGAATTCGGTTCTTTGATTAAAATCGTAAACGTTAACAGGGATTTGGTACGTCGTTGCGTGGAGCATTCACCACAACTCCAAGCCATGGTCTGTAGGTTAAGGCTGGCAATACTGGCGGCCGGTGCTGGCGGGGCCTTCGTGTCAACCTTGCATCGAGCAGCCGAAGACGCTGCCAAATGGTAAGTTAAAGCATTTCGTCTCAGACAAGATATTTTTTATTGCTCTTGTTTGGTAGGGTAGATGGCTCGCTGGTGTTAATTTTGTTACTAGTGGCCGTAGAAAATGAGTGCCGCAATGTAGGTGTAGCGGGTAGCCATCATAGAACATAAGATATTTGACAGATGTCTGAATCTCGCCAACATTTATTTAACCGTAGGCAGCGACTTGGCTCTGTCCCTGGCATTGCTGACGTCCATGAGCGACGCTAACCACTCACCAGCAGGTGGGCCGTATTATTATATTATTGCCCATACGGGCAATAAAAAAACCTGCTTATTTCGCCGCGAAGCTATTATATGTTCCGGTCTAAAAGGTGGACCATAAAGGCGGATATATATATCTCGGATATTCGGTATCCCATCAAGTGGCATTTTTACCTGTGCATGCAGTCAATTAAATTTTGTATACAAGTTTATATACAGTATAAGTATAAGTTTATAGAGAAGTTTCGAACAATAACATTTACATCATCGGTCTGAAGCAATATTACACCCGCGGAAGGTCTTTCTGTTCTCGTTACCCCCAAACATTTCTAAAGTTGGTCGTTTTAAGTCCCGTTTGCTTTATAGGCTCCTTGTTTCGGTACAGGAATAAACGAACAATTGATAATGTGGTTCCACGTTCAATATACACAACGGAAGATGGTTCCATTATATTTGGCAGCATATTGCAATTGCTAATGACCCGAACGACGACTGTGTCGACAGCGTCATTAATGTGAAGATACAAAAAGTAATATATTTATATGAAACGTACTGTTACGTATGCGAATGAACTTTCAAGAGTATCGTGAAGTTTCGGTGCAATAGCTCGTTAAGAACTGACACTTCGGTCATCGCTCAGCCGTGACATCAAAGGTCCGATATTAAAACCGAATTGATCGCGTTAATGTTCCGATAAATTTACTAATCATCCCTGAACATCCAATATAAATGTTAATCCTATTAATATTATAAACGCGAAAGTTTGTAAGAATATATGGATGTATGTTTGTTACCATTTCACGCAAAATCTACTGGATTGATTTTGATGTGACTAGAATAATATAGCTTACACATCGGAATAACCTATAGGCTATAATTAATAAAGATAAAGTCTGAATTACCCAAATTATAATGATAGATGTCAAATAAGTAGGTAAAAAAAATCTACCATCTTATTTTAATATTTTTTTCGTACCTATTTTTGTAACCTCGAGGGGTTATTCTAGATTTACTAAACTTGTAGGTGAGTTCACGGGGCTCAAACTGGGATTGTTGCTAACACTGGCCCTAGAAAGAGCAGTGCTTCGTAGAATCTACCACCGGATCGGAAACGCGACCCACTGAGAAGATCCGGCGAGAAACTCAGTGGGCTGTGTCTGTGAGTTAATATACTCGTCGAGCCCTTCATCGCAAGCGACGGGTTCGGCGAGGACAGTGACCGGATATTTTCATAATCAATAATACATTGCAGTTCCCGAAGCGAAGCGTGGGCGGGTCGCTAGTTGTTAATATAATCGTTCGTTTCGCGTTTAAATATTATGTTTTAGTATTATTATTCATTGTAAGTCATCTTTCTCATTTCGGTTTTCTAAATTTGATCGTATAGAAGAAAAAAAATTGTTATCATCGACAACGTCTATGGCACTTATTAGTGTAGACTGTGACGGTGTTTGAATCCTCCAAGTGGATATAACATTTTCTAATGAAATACGAATTTAACAATATTTACAAATGACTCAGCGGACTATGAAGATATAATTTTTGTAACAAAAATCAAAACCACAAAAATTGTATATGCGTAATTAACAATTGAGATCGCGGGGCTCAAGGTGGGTGATGGCATTCACGGTGTGAAGTCTATAAGCCAGTAAGCACTTAACTCCTGGTGGGCCATAATCTCGTTCGCTAAACTATCCAATAAAAATATATATTTATAAAGTTGGAACCTCTCTTCTCTTATTTCGATTGCAGTTAATTAGATAGTTGTTGACATAAGTATTTGTAACATTCGTAGGCTCACAGATCTGATGTACGGGCCCCGTTTGCAGCCGATGTGGTTGAATCTAGTCACGAGTGAGAAGCCCGGAGCTTCGAATAAAATGGCCGAGTCGCTGCTGTCCGATCTCTGTTCCATATTGGCCGTTGGAGACACGAAGAATACAAACTTGTAAGTATGATAGATATAACGTCACAGGCAAAGGGTCTTCTGAACATGCTTCTGGAGGTTCCCCCTATCCTGGAGGTACAACATAATGGGGTACAATAGATTGGGGGAATAGAGACTAGGGTTAGAATAAGGACAGATCTGAGATTTCACAATACTTTTGTTGAGTTGTTAGATTTAACTTTATTGAACTGAAAATGACTTTTATTTAGTTTTTAAGAATATTAAATAGTTTAATTTAGTCATCAAAGCTTGGTAACTCATTAAAAACATTAAAAGGTTAATTACCTAAAGTTAGGTACATACCTGACAACTAAATAGTGCCAGCCCGAAAAACGAATCGAATATCGAAAAACTCTATTGTTGTCCCTATACGTAACCTGATTCACCCCAAAGCAAAGGTGAATCGGGTCAAGCTAGTTTTTCAGTTTTTCAGTTTTTGTGTATATTTTGTAATGAACTATGTATAATAACGCATCGTATATAAAAATTTAAGCCCCCGGAACCATTTTAATCTCAGGGGTAATTTTTTACTAGTGGCAGGAACTCATGTGAGTCCGCACGAGTAGGTACCACCACTCCGCCTATTTCTGCCGTGAAGTAGTAATGCGTTTCGGCTTGAAAGGTGGGGCAGCCGTTGTAACTATACTGAGACCTTAGAACTTATATCTCAAGGTGGGTGGCGCATTTATGTTGTAAATGTCTATGGGCTCCAGTAACAGATTTGGAAAGGGTCCCGATTCCCCCCAATTTACGGTACGGATTAGAATAAACGTCTTAATGATGTTGTTGTTTTTGGGTATTTAGGGACCATGTTTCGGATAATACCATTAACGCACGACAGACATAGCGCTAATCAATATTGGTCTTTATGTATTTAGCGATGCTCTCGGCGTGGCTTTACCGCAGTCATGTAAATGTCAAACAAATCAAGGTGCTGCCCAGCCGGATGCTTCACAGTTTTCTTGGTTACGTGTTTTTTTGAAGGTTAATAAGAATCTATTTCGGACGGGGACGCCGGCGGTTCGCGTAAATCACGTTTATATTGTCGCTAACAAAAGTATGCGAGACGATTAATTTTGTTTTAACAAACAATAGTCGACAGTCACGTGCTTTGATATCGAGACTAGGGGAAATCTAAATATATCACGAAAACGGTTCAACAATCTCTGGTATACTGTTTTCGAGTTTCGTAGCGGATTCTGTGAAAACATAACCTTTAAATTTTCTGTTTTAGATACGGCAATCTGTCTCGTTTAGTCTTGTTGAAATCCAAAATAATTGTAAATAGACATGCTTTAACAAAAACCAACTTCAAATAGAAAAAAAAAAGATATTCCAAAACAAATTAATATACTCTAAAAACAATAATTATCGAAATCGGTTGGCGTGATATTGGGCTACTGAGTTATTCATCTATTTGTCGCGCACGTACTTAATGCAATTGTAATACTTATATGGTTTTCTCATGGATACCATTATCAGAACTGGACTAAATTGTAATGGGACCACAGGGGAAGCGTCAGCTTTCCAATAAAAAAAGAATCATCAAAATCGATTCACCCACTCAAAAGTTATGAGGTAACAAACATAAAAAAAAACATAACAAACATAAAAATAAGCAGTACAAGTACTCTATAAGAATCACGACTCTCGACACAGGAACGTAACGTCGGAAATCTATGATTTCAACTTTGCGAAATTGTGATCGGTTTTAATGTTTCATAGATATATACATATATATAACATCATCTTGACGGCCGTCCATCTGTACATCACAGCAATGGTTTGGTCGACGATTATTAGCACTGAATGGATTTAATTTAGAAAGTAATTGTGCTCTATTGACATGTACTGTAATGTGCTCTATTGTCAATAACATTCATGTTTAAGAAATATAAAAAAGCTATTAGGGATGGATCCAAACGTGAACCTAATTATTTTAAATAAATAAATGTTCACATGAAGCTTCCTGTGGTATCGTTAGATAGGCTTTATTTTAAATATTAAGGTTTGTACTACATAAATAATGTGGAAATCAAAATTTTGCAAAGATTGTGTTGTTTCATACGGAATCGAAACATCTGAAAATATATTGTAAGTTATGTTTTTATTGTGGCCTAACCTCTGATTTTTTTAAATATTTTAATATAAAAAAAAACTAATAATCTCGCATCGAATTTAATATTCCATTAAAATAAAGAAAAAAACCGAATACAGTAATAGCGCGAACTATGTAAGAGTATTATTAAACCAAATTAATCAGTAAACTGTACTAGTGTTGTGTATAACACAAAATATTTTAATTGAATGTGCTATTTAAAAATAACATTTAATAATTGAAATTAAATTGAGTTTTAAAATAAAGAACATTAACACACATGCAGATATATATCATTACGTAACATAACTCAAATACCGTTGAAGAGGGCAGTGGATAAAAAGCAGTCTCGACTCGTTCTATCTATGTATTTTAGCAAGGCCCAGAAAATTCACGTGACACGGCGATAAAGTATTTCACGATAGTATGCGAACATAATCTTGATATTTTATAACGGTCCAATGACGTGTTGATTTTATTATAGCCACTCTAATAGATCATTAAAACGATCACATGACTTTTTTGCATTACAACACAAACAGCTTCCCCCGCCTCGAAGTTAATTTATGATAAACAAATTCCTGTGACTTTGGATTCTAGAGATTGTTATTTGTAAAATAAATATTGTTATTTTGACTAGCGCAAAGTATGCTTAAGATTTATATTTGCACTGTATTTTGTTTAAATTAAAGTGCTATTTAGATTATTTCAAATAAATTATGACATTTTCATAATTTATTTAAATATTTAAATAATTAATATCATAAAGTACATTGCATTCTCTCTGAACAAAATAGTCTGTATGTCTCATTTTGTTTTAATAAAGATTGTTTTTCATTTTATTAACTCATATGACGTACATCATACATAATATATCAACGTAAACATACGAATTTGAAATAATCTTTAAATATATATAATTCTTGTGTGAGTGTGTATGTGATTGAACTTCATCTAAACGGCTGGACCGATTTTGTTTAATTTTTTTTGTGAGTGTTCAAGTGGATTTGAAAATTATATTCACAATTCGATCCACTATAAAATGTTTTAAAAAAAAGTTTGAAATTTTTATATTGAAGCCATTACCGGATGTATTGTGTATTGGTAACGGCTAGTTACCAATACACAATCAGAATAAAAAAAACGTGTTTGGACTTTAAACTGTAAAATATATAATCCGTGTAAATTGTATTCGTAATGAGCAATCGGCATCAACTAGACACAGTGAGATGTTCGCGGCACTTTGGACATGTTCCAATGTTTAATGACGATGTATCATGACTAAAAAGCCCATGTTTTGCATGGTCGTTAATTACGCGAACGTGTCAATGGAAATGTTCGGCTGGGGTTTCGGTGACGCAGGTCGGGAATGTTATTTCGATACATTGCATTATTGGAATGACAACACGTGCCATATTTTTGGGTCTCGTGTTCAATCTTGACGCAATATATTGTTATGCTTATTCTTGTAGTTGGGCACAGGAGTATTTCTACACAGGTGGAGGCTTCAGTACTTAATGCACCTTGCGAATTTAGGTCGAAGTCACAATGAATGAGGTCCTAACAGAAACGCTATAAACTATTGCGATTGAAATTGGCGGTATAGCAGTAGTCCGTCGTTTCGGCTTATTATTAATTTGCCCTACCTTCTTTATAGGTTTCATGAAGAAGACTAAATAATTTTGTAACGTCACCTTTTAGTGACCCACTTTTAACTTTTCGGCTTTAAATTATTAAAAGGGTTTTTTTTCAATTCTGTATATTTCTTTTTTATTATTACAAATTCAAGTAGAACAGATCGCTTCCGTTCTAACCCTAGCCAAAGGTTTATTTCGAATGGCAGGTACGTTTGCGGCCGTTATTTGCGTAATGTTTACGTGTTTTTCACGTGATCCCTACAGTTTTTTCGCTACAAACTGACGTATGAATTGTTTAAGGTCATTATGCAATAACCGTTTTGCAATATAACATTTGAACGTTACGTATATGATTTAGGATCTCACGCGAAAATGGTATTATTATTATACTATTATTATACTATAGATCAGTAGAGTCATCTCAAGTCACCACTATTACCTCAGAATCGAATGGTACCTTCGCCGTTTTCTTATTGTTTAACACGTCTTAATTCCGTTGTGAATAGAAACTTTTTGATAACATTGATATTTTCCTATCGGTACTGTAAGCGTATTCCGCTACCTGACAAGAAAATCTAAGATAATTGTCTTCATAGTACGTTAATCGCTTCTTCCACTCTTTCAACAATACGTATATATCTGAATTAAATAATATTTTTACAGTTTCATCAGTACACTTGTAACGTACGTGCTCACATACCATCTCGGTTGGGTATCCACGGTCAGCCCTTACGACAGTGAGGTCCACCAAACGGCTGCGACGAAGTCAAACGACTCCAAACGTCCGTACAACGTTCTGTGGGCACAGCTCAATGATCTCTGCGGAAATATTGGTTTTCCACCTCGCGCCGCTCGCACTATCATCAGTGGCGCGACCAACACCCAGTTCGTCAACAGGCTACTAGTAATTTTGACTTACTTCATTCGATGCGGCGAAGTCAAACGAACCGATTTCCTCTACCAGAATGTTCCAGTGAAAGAGATTAGAGTGGTCAATGTCGATCAGCCTGAGGGTGGATTGAAACGAACAGCGACTCGCGCGAGCAAATTATCACAGTGTGAAACTCTAAATGAACAATTGAATGCTCAGAACAGTGATTGCAGTGTCGGTACTTTGGTACCGAGCGAAGTTGGATTGAAGAAATCGTCGACGCACGCGAATCTAAATCAGAAGCTCTCTAGTAGTGCGCAGTTTGCTATAGAAGGCGGCTCAAACACAGAACCAGTCACCGGTCACCTGAAGAGAAACACCACCATGATGCTCTTATCTAAAGCGTATTCGGATTCTAGTCTTAGCTCATCGATATCAGACGCCGAGCCCGAGCAGGTCATCTTCGTCCTGGGCGATAATGAGAAATTAGTTGGACTCAAAAACAAGTCTGCCAGCGGGAAGAGTGTCAAGAAATCCTCTAAAATACACAACGAACCCCTAGAGATAGAGATCCCTGAAAACAAGATAGAGAAATGTACGAAGGATAACTGCGAGAAGTCCGACAGCCCTTCCAAATGCTGCGGGCAAACACTTCAACATTCCAAACCTATAAAACATTCCGGTTTTAAGTTCGAGTTCGATAAGTACCCTCAGATAGTGACAAATTACATGAAGAGTAAGAATTTAGAGATTCTCGACAGGCATTACATTGGGAAACCGGGGAATTTGAAGTTGGACAACTACCAGTTCGATCCCATGATCGTGCCGCCGATACAAGAGGAGAGATGCGAGACTTGCGTCAAGTGCCAGCTGATGGAATCGCTGCTGCAGACGCCCACTAACGCTTCCGAAATGGAGTACATGAATGACATACCGCGACAGTCGGAACCCCAACACGCAAAGGAGACCATAGTCAGAGACAATCAGATCCATCGAGAGCTATCGCCTAAAACATTCGTTCGAGTACAAAAAGAGAACACATTAATTGTTAACGTTGCCAAGATCGAAGACAGGATTAGTAACTTAGAAGCCAAAAGGCCTGAGAGGAAGACAAGTAGAGATAAAATGAACGAACGGCAGATGAAAGTAAAGCAAGTCATAGAAATCCCGTTACAACGGTTACAAGTTATGGGCAGACCTTGTCTGTTGAGGTCTGGATACGACGCGTCTTTACTCGGAGGAATCACAGATCATTATGTACCTGATTTAGTATTACAAGGTAAGAGATTTTTTATTTATTTAATAAGTTTAAGTAAGTTTTTATAACAGCAAAATATTTATGAATACCTTCTTATTTTGGTTATGAACCCGCGAGATCGCCATTAATCTAGTAACTAATTACCAAATTAATAATGATACCTAAAGGCTTAATCGTATTGTGTGATGACAGCCTCATCTTTCGAACCGCAACGGAACACTGCCTCGCAAAGACAGACTATAATCTCGGTACCTACCTGCACATGTATAAACACCTTTATGTTAAGCAATAATAATAATATATATTAGTGATATGAATTGCTGAATTTTCATCATAGCGATTTAGAATATCAGTAGTTCGTGTATTTTCAAATACCTAGGATGCTGGTTAGAAACCTTAGATAGAATTTGATAGCGACGAAATGTAGAATTTAATTTAGTTTGTAATAAGAGCGAATCTAATAAAAATGCGTTATTACAAAAGATAATTTAAAGTCGTTTTGTTCATATCTGCAGCGAATGTCTCATACAGTGTGAAATGAGTAGAACTTCCATTATGATGCCACTGTATGATTTACGTTGCGATTTCTATGGGCTTTGATACGCTGTAATCAACATAATGATAGGCCGCGTGTTTCTACAATATAACAAAATAACGTTTTAAAGACTTTGTTCTTAGATATATACGAAAGAAGTTATACTTCTGTACTATATATCATATATGGTCAAATTAAATTATATACCAACTAAACATTCACGGATTATATTTATTTATTCAAGGAATATTTTATTTAAAAATTTATAATGTATTCTGAAATATTGATACACAATATTTACAATTGAATTATGTGTCATAAAAGCGCACGCAAGTCCGTCACACGCTAAAAATACAATATACACGATATGTTTTCTCATAAACGCGTCGATAGAAGTATAACTTCGATAGCTTTTCTTACCCACGTTGTGGACTATGTTTACATTTGACCTGTTCGCGGTGTAGGGTAAAAAAAAAAAATAGTATTAACATGATACTTGAAACTTTATCCAATAACAGGAACATTGGCCGAGCCGAATGCGTGGGAGACGGATCTGCGACGAGACCTGGACTTGACGTCGCATCTGAACAAGACTGTCGAGTGCTCCTTACAATCCGTGGCTATTGTCGGGGACACTAACTCCTGGTACGTTTACACAATATCAATGGCTCCAAATTCCGGTCTGACTAGGGTTTAATGTACGCAAAACAGTATTATCTTTGTTTCTCGTCACTTTAATGACTTAATTTCGCCTTTGTTATTTATTCCTCCTTTGCTTGTGTTATTTCTTGCTTGCTCATTGTTTTTAATTTATTTGTTTCTATGTTTTTGTTTCCCTAGTGTTTTAATTTGTTTATATTGGTGAGGATCTTTAATTGTCTTTTTGTTTCTATTATTTGATATCTTATTATATTATGTTAGTTGGCTGTTGGTTCTCCTTGTAATAAATAAATCAATAAATAAATAAAAATAATACGAATTAATATGTACATTAATCGCGTGTAACTAGAAAAACTAAAGCATTCGAAATATCCCAAAATAATTGAACATAATTACAATAATAAAATCGAGGATTAAACCGTAAATATAGTTTTAACTATGCACGAAATAGAATGAATTTCTGAAATTCTTATACGCCTTTCTAGATTTATATTACGAAAAATAAATCAAACTAGCAATGTACAGTGGAAGAGTGACAAGGCCATGAGTCAGTATTTATGTTCACTTAATGATTAATGTCACTAGTTTTAGAATTTATGTATCATATAGTTAAAATATTATATATAAATGAATATTAGTTAGCGGTGCGATGAAAGACATAAGCAAGCTGGCTTCCGTTTTGCTTTACATTACTGGTTCATGATATATGAAGATACTAAAATAACACGTTTTGATGCTTAGCCTTAGCAAATAATATGTTTTTGTTTTTTGTCGATCTAGTACGATTATTTTTGTTTCGTCTCCGAAAGGGGTTCTTCTAAAGTGGCAGTTTTATTAAATATCCTAAATACAAATTAAGGTTTTCTCTCGACATTCTACTTTTTAGCGGGAAAGTAATACATTTCTTGAACATAGTTTGAGGACTATTTATTAAGAACAAAGATCTTCCACTGAGCTGCTGAAGTTACTCGGTAAACAGACGGTCCGTTTTGTTTTTGTTTTTTTTATTGCTCATATAGGTGGACGAGCCACAGCCCACCTGGTGTTAAGTGCTTACCAGAGCCCATAGACATCTACAACGTAAATGCGCCACCCACCTTGAGATATAAGTTCTAAGGTGTCAGTATAGTTACAACGGCTGCTCCGCCCTTCAAACCGAAACGCATTACTGCTTCACGGCAGAAATAGGCGGAGTGGTGGTACCTACCCGTGCGGACTCACAAGAGGTCCTACCACTAATAAAATTCCGTATGTTATTGTGGGGATCTTGTATACATGAAAACCTATTTTGAAATTGTTGTTAACGAGATTCAGGAATCTGTCAAATATCTTGTGTACTATGATAGCTATCGCCACAACTATGATGTTTGTATTGATATTTTATGTTATTTATCGGATTTTTATTATTGGTGATTAGAAGGGAACATATTTTTTACTTTGCAGGGAAGTTCGCATTGTGGGTAGAGATTGCTGTTCCGGTGGGATGTCGCCGTTAGTGGGCTCCATGCTAGACGCACTGCCGATCATGTGGAAGGCAAAAGTACCGGCACACGAGGTGAATACATATTTTTCTGAGTAGGCTAAGCCGTCACCGTCACATTGCAAATTGCTGCCCACCAATTTTTAATATGACGAGTGACTTGCATTGAAATACTGCTTCTTACCCTTCACACCCTGTTTACGTCTTACAAGTCTGTCGATAAAACAGTAAACCCTTTATGTATGCGACGACATTGACGTTTGGTAATTAAACCAATTCAAAGATCCTTCTTGATAAAATCCTTTTTATTTTAACATTAATAAACAAAACACCACTGTTAAAGTACAACGAAAAGCCATAATCTATAGAATCTGTTTTAAGCATTTTTTATTAAATTAATAATGATATTCATTCTACGCAAGTCTATATTGTTCCATAGGCACCACCCACTCTGTTTCCCTTGGGATCTTTTCAGTGGGTCGCGATTCTGATCCCATAGTGGACTCAGCGAAGCATTGCTCTTGTTAAGGCTAGTGTTACCAAATCCTCCAAGGTTGAACCCGTGAGCTCACCTTAAAAGTAGCTAGTAGTATTCCAGCTATAAAAGTAGCTGAAATAGCCCCTTAGGCTACCAGAGATTAGGTAGGAGAAACATTTTATATAGGGGATCAATGATGGTTAAGTTTATAGAAATTAATATTCCAAAAAATTGTTTCGAGTTCAATAAGAGACGACCGCCCGTCTCGACTTTCCAAGTGAGACAGATACATTGATTATATTTTTACACTATAGATTATATACGAGAAGGGGAAGGAGGCTAACTGGTCATTTTTTAGTATGTTCATCACATTCGGTGTTTTAATGTTCATCAATTGTATTTCAAATCGTATTCACCTTTATTATTCGATCACCTTCTTATTACTGAAGTAATCTGGAAAGGATAATCTAAGCAAATACAACCTACAACCTACAACCAGCCATTAATTTATTTACAAAACAACATATTATTATCGTTCTTGTAGTTGAACCGTAAAATTACTAATGTTGGTTTTATATTTTCCAGTGTCTATCATTCTTAGAAGGGAAACTTCGCGAGTTCTGTGTCCTTTCAAAAACTCTGGCCGAGATGCTAATGTCTACGGATTTCTGCGATATTGCAACTCTGACGAAGTCTCTGAACGTTGACATGAATGACGTTCCCTTGTTAATGGCCGTAGCCACCACGCACACTCCACAAGTCGCAACCAGATACGGGATTAGTTATAGGTAATTTCGAAAAGTGTTAAAGAAGTGAAACTTCTTCGAGCGTAACGAGTGTAGATATTCGATGTAAAATGTATTGCATCAACTTATACCAAATCATTTCGTAAACATCACAACAGCTCTCTGTATCTCTCAAGAAGTTTTACTTCTCTCACATGTGCTAACTTGTACGCGCTGTTTTTTCCTTGTTTCGCACATATTTGGTCATAATACGAGTAGCTACAGTAATGACAATTTAATTAAGTTTAAAAAAAATTGAGACCTGATTTTGTAAGAGATGGTTGAAATATCGATAAAAACGTTTATTCTTGGCTCTGAGTCACAAGTTAATATAATAGTAATAAATAAATACCTGCGATCAAAAATAATATAAATATTTACCTCTTCGGTATTACGGTAACTGAATTATATTATAATATTGGAATGTGATATATTTGTTGAGTATAATGATGTGTCATTTTTTTTTGGTGATATGAGATGCGGTTTTTTAAAGGCCTTTTGTGATAGTAAACTGTGTAGCATCGTTGAAATTGTTAATGTAATAAAGCTTAAAAGCTATGCGCATACTGATTTCTTATGATTGTAACTGACAGAAAAATAATTAGAGCATACGCTGAGAAATGCTAGTTCACTGTGTTAGTATGCTAATGCTTGCAAAATGGTGGAATTTGGCGCCAAAATAAAAAAAAAAATATATATTAAAAACAATACATTGTTAAAGTAATGATTTGCATATCGATTTATTACAATCAATTATCGAACATATCTCAGTACATACCTGGAAATACTATTATAATAAATAATGTACCTTGGTCGTTTAGTAAATAAGGTGATATACGTGTACATTTGAAGCGTAATAAAATACTTTAATTTTTATACATCATTTGATTATTTATTTTTTATATTGAATTCTGTTTGTTTTCCATAGTTTTTTTTATACCAGTGGTTAAATAAAATAATAATTGAGATCTACATCTTGTATTTTTTACTGTAGATGAATTCGGTGTGATTAGAAACGAATTTGTAGAGTTTTTAGAATTAGTACCCTCACTGAAATAATTTATATCAACATTACGGCTATATGTCTGATGTCGATCAAAGAATCTTCAATTAAACTAATTGATCAAAACGTTGTGTATGTGGCCTCGTTCTCTATCCATCTGTAGAAGCAGTACTCTTATTTTATAATCCAATCCAATCCTAACCTTATTGCTACTGGTGTTGGGGCACGCGAGTTGGCATGAGTTGGTGCTAGCGCCCTCTACGATACCGTTCTTCGGACGCCATCTTTTGGGAAATCTACTATTTACAGCCGTTACCGGACCCAATAAACACCACAACCTAAATGAGACATAAGTCGAATATATTAAGTGTATAATCTATGGACATAAGATATGCGCATCTTGAGATATAAGGTGTCGATGGTTTACTTTTTATTGCCTTTGTAGGTTGAAGAGCATACGCGATGATGATAAGTGGCTACTGTCAAACGTCACAGGCACAACAAAGTCGCTTCCTACCTCATTATAGAATTAGAGAATGCTAATTCTAATCATTCAAACCGTTGCAAGTATAATACGCCCTATCACTATTAAATGTCATTCAGAAGGGGTTTTGTTTAAGATTTTGTCATTACCAAAGAACAAAAATCTAAAGGGTCGACTCGCATACTCCTACATGCCATCCATAAATAATAAACCGAAATCAGGCGATTTCATCCTGATCTAAACATAAAATAATGACCGTGGAATCGCTGAAGACAATGCTTCCAGGTGGACTGTATACTCATTTACTTATGGCACTTTATGTATTTCTTGATACCTTTAAAGTACTATCCATCATTCTCATTCCAGTAGAGTAGACACCACTAAAATTTCGGCCTTATATCTCAAGGATATTAATGACATCTATGATAAGTACGGTCAGGTGCAAAATTTGTAAGTTCTAAAAAGAGCATTCGAATGCAAGTTATAAATGACAAACTAGATGGCGTTAATTTTAAAATGTTCATTGTTTGTATACCTCGTTACCTAGATGGTGTTAATTGTAGTTTCATACGATTACCCATTTATGTTTACTGTTCATACATTTTGAAGCCCACTATTATGCAACAAAGGACGCAAAATCAGTAATAGTCATTAATAAAATGAATACGGCTATCTTGTCCAAAAACTAAGTAAAACGTAAAAAAAAATGTATGTGTATTACTCGGTATGGTTTGGAAATTCCAACGATACCCTATAACCCTATTGGTTGATTAAAATGAGGTACAGGATATTCCGATGAGATCGTTTAAATAGTACTTCAATTTGAAAGTAAAATAGCATAATGGTATTTTAATAATATAATATTGTGGAGAATGCAATGAGTGAAAAACGACTAAGTAATATTAGATATATTTGTTTAAGAAAATGAAATTTAAATATTCAAATTGTAATTTGAAACATGCTTTCCAAAGAGCATTGTTACGTTACAACCACATTTCAACCAAGTTCTTTAGCGAAATCTTCATTTATTTTTGCATACCTTGCTATATATAATCAAAGTGAATCGAAGTAAAAGAATTATATTTATGTGAAATTTCAAATGGGATGAAAATTGAATGTAATTAAATTGTATTTTCTTAGATTTCCAATGGATTTTTTGAAAAACGTTGTTTCTAAGGCTGGATGGATTTCTAGATTTTCTAATGATTTTCGTTTCATTTTACCACACTTGCATACTTTGACGAGTGGTAGACGATTAATAAGCCATCATAATTACAGGATTTAACCCCAAAGAAACATTAATTTCACACAACAACAAAAATTACATTGCTTCTTCTGTCGCGTTTCCATCGAAAAGTCCAAACTTCACCATAAAATGTTGCCATATTTAAAAGTATTTGACTTCCTTGGCGCTAAAAGATTAATGTGAAAAGTTTGTTTGAGTTTTGTACAAGATCTGCTGTGGTTTTAGATTCTTCAAAGAATTACGAAAAGTTTCTGTTTTGAATTTAAAATTCTTCGATATTTGAAAATTTATAAATAAATTGAATAATTTCATACGAAGCCTTTGTCACTAACTATTGATTCAAACTAAAAACCTTTTTACGAAAATTCTATCATAATCAACAAAACCCCAAAGCTTTTATTAATCTTTAGTTCGACGAGCTTTCGAACCATCTGATTTTAAGTAGTTTCTGAGATTTTTAGAAATGTAATCAACAATACATACATTAAAACAATAGAATCCGGTATAATGTGGGACAGAAAAAAGCTTATAAAAAGCAGTAAGAGAACACAAGCCAGTGATTTTTAGAATTGTTTTTTATTGTGTGTGTGAGTGTGAGCGCGCGCGTGTGTTTGTAAATATAGCTACAAAACGTACGCGGTTGGAAAATGTAAATATGTAATGTGAAGTGATGTGCAGAGAGAGGGTAGCGATATTTTGGCGGCGCTGTGAAATTAGAAAAGAACAGTCTTAATCCGAGGATACAAATATTGTGACTCACCTGATGTATTCCAAGTTCTCGTCCTCTCCAGCGGCAGGATTTCACGGCGGTTTTTCGGCGGCGAATGAGATGCAGTGAGAGCACTCCACAATCACAATTAAAAGTTTTAGTGTAGCGGTGAAAATGAGTTGATAGTAATTAGATTTTAATACAATTTGCAGTCCGTGTTGCGCGTACACAAGCGGGAATTAGAATGGATCGAATATGAGTTTCAAATTTAAAATTTCTGTTCTTTAATTATATGTACAATTTTGAAAATTCTTCGTCTTCAAGGAGGATTCATTCAAACCCAAAGGCGTGAAAACTCTAAATTAAAAACTGTCTTGAATAATCACTCATTTGTTTCATTAAAATTGTGCATTGTAAAGAGAGATTATGGTCATTTAAATATTTTTGTTAAAGTTTAAGTTTTTTTAAAGTTGAGACTGTTAAATTTCAAAAAAATATTTATTAAAAGTAAAGTAAATAATATACATATGTGTTATGTCTTCACGCCCAAACTTACTTATTACTTACTCTTATTTTGGCGAAATTCGTATGAAAGTAAGTCGAACCCTCGGCGACATTAAGAGCAGTTTTTCATGCCACTAATGAGCACAGGTCAACGCCCTCGTGACAGAAAGAGTAAAGCTAACCAAACAATACTTAGTCTGGCCATAAATACTGTTACAATTAAAAATAAACAAAATATTACATTTGAATTTGTAATCTGTAATTTTTATATGATTGCTCACTGAGTTTTCTCATTTTGGCGCCAATACATTGTACAATATTTTGCGATATTAAAATGGAGTGGGGTGATAAAGAGAACCGAATCGCTGTGATTGCATTACACAAAGTAGGTATGGAGCCAAATGCAATTTTTAAAACTCTCCATACGCTTGGTATTAGTAAAATCTTTGTGTACCGGGCTATTAGTAGGTGCAATGAGACCTCCTCTGTTTGTGACAGAAAAATATCTGGCCGTCCACGTAGTGTTCGTGCGAAAAGGGTGGTCAAAGCAGTAAGGGAAAGAATTCGAAGAAATCCTGTCTGAAAGCAAAAGATTTTATCTCGGGAGATGAAGATAGCACCTAGAACCATGTCGCGTATTTTAAAAGATAAGTTAGGACTTGCAGCCTATAAGGGACGTACTGGTCATTTCTTAACTGATAATTTAAAAGAGAATAGGGTGGTAAAATCGAAACAACTACTGAAGCGGTACGTAAAGGGAGGTCATAGAAATTTTTTGTTTACGGATGAGAATTTTTTTACAATTGAGCAACATTTTAACAAACAAAATGACCGTATTTATGCTCAAAGCTCTAAGGAAGCTTCCCAATTAGTCGACAGATAGAAACGGGGGCACTATCCGACTTCAGTGATGGTTTGGTGGGGTTTAGCTATGAAGGAGTGACTGAGCCATACTTTTGTGAAAAAGGTATCAAAACATCGGCACAAGTGTATCAAGATACCATTCTTGAGAAGGTAGTGAAGCCCCTTAACAGCACCATGTTCAATGATCAAGAATGGTCCTTCCAGCAAGACTCGGCGCCAGGTCATAAAGCTCGGTCTACGCAGTCTTGGTTGGAAACGAACCTTTCGAACTTCATCAGAGCTGAAGACTGGCCGTCGTCTAGTCCCGATCTTAATCCGCTGGGTTATGATTTATGGTCAGTTTTAGAGAGTACGGCTTGCTCTAAGCGCCATGATAATTTGGAGTCCCTAAAACAATCCGTACGATTGGCAGTGAAAATTTTTCCCGTGAAAAGACTGCGTGCTTGTATTGATAACTGGCCCCAAACATTTGAAGAACTGTATTGCAGCCAATGGAGATCACTTCGAATAACCTTTTTTATACTTTAAATTGTTTTATATTTATGTATTAAACTAAGTAACACACTGTAAAAGTAATAAATGTTATTTGCAAAAGATTTTTTTTTTCTTTTGTCTCAATATTTATGGCAAGACTAGGTAAATCTAAAAAGCATCAGTAGAAGTATTGTGTATGTATGTAATGGTTACTGTTTTAATTCTATTTTATAATATACGACCGCAGTTACTATCAATTAATCTAATTATTTTCGAAGCGATACGGCGCATCGCACAGGATCGCATCAAAATTCAATTTACAACTCTAAAAGAGGCACCATCAAGTAACGCGACGAGAGGGCGTGACGTTTTAATTAAGCTTTTCTTGGTAATTCAATTGTATTTTAACTCCTAACCGCTGAACTTATTTTTACATATTTTCCAGAAATTGTTCAAGGATTTTGGAAAAAAAAACCAAAAAACATTAACTTTAAAAAAAATCGATATTAGCGCGCTAAGATACGTACAGATATGATACTTAATAGTATTAATATTAATATTATCATTATCATTATATAATATTAATATAGTATTAACTATATCATTAATATATAACGGAGGAGAAACGCTGAAGGAATGTTTTTAAAAAGTGTGACGTCAGCATTGT